CGTTGTTACATACAGTAGCGGTCAAAAGTTTGGAAACTTTTTTATTTTTGATCTAGCGCGGCCGACACATAACGAAATTGTCCCAAATTTAGATATTCATACAAAATCAAGTCCAGAATACGACGGGAAGAATAATTTCCAAAAATCTATAATCATATTTGAGAAATAAGATTTTTTCAAGTAATGGCGCGTCAAAAGTTTGGAAACTTTTTGTTTCCCTCATCATTATGATTCCTACTCTTCAATGTTTACTTGTTTCTGTTAATTTTAGTTCAACCATTGAGTAATGTGTAATTTCAAAATGAATTCATATGCAAAGGAAGCAGTTTTTCCATGGGAGGTCCTTTTTTAAACCCTACAATCCGGAATACGAAATTGAAATTGTTTCTTAGTAGTTCAGTCTCTACGGAAGCAATATTATCGAATGTTTCTAGCGTTTTTGGAGTCGAGTAAGCATAAGAAGAATGATCATTCACAAAAAAGTATTCTCACAAGAAAATTGGCCCTCCTCAAATACTTCGAAGGGTGGTTGGCACGTCCCGTACCCCCGACATGCCCAACTAAGAGACGATTTTTTCTGGTTTTTCCTAATCATATGAAAGTCCAAGCACAGCCCAACATCGGCCGCGACCTGGTGAATATTACGGATGATGTCCCAACAAGAAGCCATTGTTGGGCTTCAAGAGCAGGATGGCCCAACTGGCTTCCGCACACTAACGGCTAACATGGACCGAAGGCGAGAGGTAAAACTTTGTCCTCAGCGACGAGTGAGATTTCTGTCTTCCTAGAAATGATGTTGTGGACCCTGTGAAGTGTTCTATCAAATGGAAACCTCATTTAGAGTATAGATTCCAACAGTCAGAAATAGTGGAAGTATTGTCATGGATGAAGATGTGTCCGACCATTCGGCGATTCCCCAGTTCTAGGTATCCAGCGAAATGTGGGTTGGGCTAAGTACAAGATAGTCTGTAGAATACAATGCTTCCCTTCGATAGTCAGAACTAGCCGGAAAAGATGGGTTTTCTATCGCGGAAATGACCCAATGCAGGCCTACCTCCTCACTGCCGCCTTCCTAAACCCAGAAAAAGAAGCTGTTATGAAGCGACCAAGTCAAGATCTGAAGTCTAATTGAGTTCTACATCCCACGGAAGAACTGGCATGTCGCTCAACCCACTTCCAGAGAAGAATCCCACCAAACAATGTGATTTAGTTCACAGTGTGTAGGGTTCGACTTAAAAATCCTAAAATTATTTTTAATCAACTCCATGTCAATAAAAACGACGCTAACATAGAAATTCACAGCTACTCATCGAATAACTAATTTATCATGTAGATTCGAGAGCTATTTTGCCGAATTCGCTTTGGAATTGAGGAAGTTTCCAAACTTTTGACGCGCCATTTCTTATAAAAATTCGTATTTTTCAAATGCGATTTCAGTTTTCAAAAAATCATGTTGCTCATCGTAATCTACACTTGATTCTGTATATAATATGTGAATTCGGGACAATTTCATTGTCTATCGGCTACGCTAGATCAAAAATAAAAAAGTTTCCAAACTTTTGACCGCTACTGTATATAGCGATGAACCTCACCCTAGTCAGTGTCATATACGTCAAAAGAAAAAAAGCAAACGTAAGGCCAATTAACTAAGGTCACGTCTTAAAAAACTTCGTTTGGCTTGCAGTGTAAAAACGATTATACATAGCACAATAGCTGGCTATAATGTTCCCTAGAATAATATCTATCTATCTAATCAATTTATCTAATATAATAAATGTGTAGTGAATATTTCCTTTAGAAATTGTCTAAGGATCACCAAGACTATTTAAGATAGTTTCAGGTTTCCGCTCCCGAAATGGTGGTAAAGGAAATCCAGATCCGTTTTCATCAGCAGCGAATTTTAGTGAGCACCCAACAATCTTAACTCGAAGCCAGTCCCGAAACACTTGTAGATTGTGCTTTGAGTCTAACGTGAAACATTTGGAGCGGCACGTTTTACAGGTAAATTTACATGATAATGGTCTGTCTTTCATTACCACTTTTTTGATTTCAGCATCACATAAAACAGCCAATGTTCTTGTGTCCTTGCTGCAACTTCAGCAGCTGCTATTCATCAACGTCGGTCAAGGATCATATTAAGGTGAGTGCAGCTTTTCCAGAAAAAGCAATCTAAACGCGATGTCTCCGAATGAGATGAATTGATTCAGACTCGTCACAGCATGTTTGATCCCGTGCCGCTGGATGTGAGGGAAGAATACGTAGAACTCATTCAAACGGTTTATAATCAGTGTTTTGTTGACGAGACTAGTGCGCTGGTCGGTAGGATTGCTTTCAGACAGGTGCGGTTTTAACTGTTTAAATATAGTAATTTTAGAAAACTCCACTATTTATGAAATACCAGTTTGCTCCGCCCGATATCGCGCGCATCACACGACCTAAGGTTCCGCAGGCTCTCCCGTATCATTGAGTCTTTTATGGATGAGCATGATAGCGTACGAAGCTAGCTAAGCTGGTATATTTATCACACACACAAACAAACACTCCTGCATTCGTCTAACTTCTGATAATTCAGCGGTGAATAGGATCATGCTGTTAGCCTCAAAGTTAAAAAGGCACTCAAAAATCCCAAAGTCTTAGCGGTCATCAAATGAGTTCTGGCCTTCTTGGTATTAGATCAAGAATGAAACGTATCATTCGCCGAAAATCTGCTCAAGCTAAACTGGTTATATCGATAGAATGTCCACGTCACATCCCACATAACACTTGTGAGTAAGAAGACCCTAGTACCACGTGCACTGCGCAACAGAATTGACGACTTTTGCCTTTCAAA